ACACACTTATCGCTACTACTCCCTCAAGTAACTTCACTAAAATGAAAGTAAAGTGATAAACCAGTAACAACCAAGAAGATGGGAAATGAGAGCAAAATTTTGGAAGATGGAAGATGAAAAACATACATTAGCAGAGAAGAAAAAGGTGAATTCTAACCACCTTCAAGAGACAAAGTCAGCAAGAAGGATTCCTTTATGTCCTAAAGAAGAAAGCTCAGAAATTAGAGGCAACAGCATATACTTCAGAAAGGGAAGAAAGAATGGGAATGAAAAAAAAGAATTGACTAAAAATCTACATAAAGGACAATTAGATTCTCGAGTCCTTGCTCTAAGGCCTAATAACAGGGAGGCTGTCTCTCCTGGTTGCTGTCTCTCCTTATATTGGTAGAGGATTGGGAAGTTCATGCGCTGGAGCTGTCCGAATTACAAATGTACTGAACTTGAACACAACAGGCATTCAAGCATAGGGACTGAGTGAAATCTGCATATTGAGTTTGGAGACTCCCCCAGTCCCTTCCTCCTCTTTACATGGCACTTGAAACAGTTGACAACTAGCATCACAGACAGAAACAGTTTCTTTCTGGGAAACTGATGTGGCCAGGAGAAAACCCCAAAGATGCTGACAATTGACACATGCCTCCACAAAACACCTGGGTCCAAATACCAGCTCCCTAAATTGGGACCATCAGTCAACAAATTCTGCCTTTTGAGAGAAGAGCATCCAGTCAACTTTTCAATGCTTCAGTCTAAAATATGAATGAACAGGGACTTTCCTGGTGGTCCAGTGGTTAAGACTCTGCCCTTCCACTGCAGGGGGCACAGGTTTGATCCCTGGTCAGGGAACTAAGGTCCTGCAGGCCACACAGAGTGGCCAGTAAATAAATAAATAAAATATGAATGAATAGCAGACTGATAAGATACAAACAGGAAAATGAAAAATGAAGACTGAAATAATCAAGAGGATGAAAGGGAACATATAGATAAGAGACGCAGTGTAGGACCAGCAGAAGAAAAGTTAAAGGAATTTCCTTAGAAAGAGAAAAGATAATGAATGTGATACAAGAACAGGGAAATATGGAAGAACACTTAGAGACTAAGAAACAGATCTCAGAAAAAATGGTGGCAGAAACAGAAAATTCGATAGAAAGTCTGGCAAATAAGAGACGAAATATCCCTGAAAACAGAATAATATGCCAAACAGACAGAAACTAGAAAAGACAAATAGTTACTAGGGAACACTTAGAAATTCAACTATTTAGCAGGGGTTCCAGAAAGAGAATAGAGGAAATGGAAGTGAAGAATTACCAAAGACAATTTCCCAGCTGAAGGCCAGAGGGCAGATTTAGAGGGCCCACTGAGTGCCTAACATATAATGAAAAAAGATAAACCATGGCAAACCTTTAAGATAATTAAGAAGATGGGTTAGAAGTTCCAAAACTTTAAGAGAGAAAAGACAAAGGAATCTGAATGCCACTGGTTTTCTGGCAACTGTAACTCTGGAAACTAGAAGACAATATAGTGATGCCCTCAAAATTATAAAGGAAAATGATTTCCAACCTAGAGTTCTAAGCCCCGCCAAACTATTAACCAAGTGTGAAGACAAAAGAAAACCAGTATTCAACATACATAGTCTCCAAGAATGTGCAATCTGACCTCCAGAGTATACGAAGGAGTACTCAACTAAAATAAAGGAAAAGAGGACAATATGGAATTCAGGAAACAAGGAGTCTGTATAGGAAATGATTCCCAGGATGTTAGGCAAGTAGAATCCCAGGATGAGCACAGAGCGATGAGCCTTAAAAATCAGTCCAGAGTAGAGTAGGGGGTGGAGAGCTCCAGGAGAGATCCCTCCAAGAAAAGGAGAACCGACAGATCATCTGACATGATTAACTGCATTGAGAGGAAGAAAGTTTGGGGGAAAATTGGGACTGACATATAGAAACTGGACTTGACAAAGTCACAGCTGGGTGTGGAGGCAATTCCTGGTAGGTATCTGGAGGACAGAAGTCAAGGATGCTGCTAAACATCCTGCAATGGACAGGACGACACCCCCAAAGAATTATCCAGTCCCAAATGTCCACAGTGCTGCAGTTGAGAAAACAGGCCTGGAGTCTTTGGGGATTATTTCATCAGAACGCTTGTACAGAAAGACTGATGACATGCAAGCGTGGCAATTTAGAACTGACTCAGCTAAATATTTGGATGCAATGATGGAAGCAGTCTGGCTGTGAAATATATCTTTGGGAATATTGAGAATGGTAAGGTAAAGACAAAAGATATAATAAATGATAATAATACACAGTGCTTTGCACCTCAATAATTGCTTTCATCCTTGATTCCTAGGACACTTTATAGACTATATATAAACTACTCTGGTACTCACATACTACCTTTTATCTAAGGATCTCAGGCACTTTCACAGCACACTCACAATGTAGGAAGTATTATTATCCCCATTTTGTATGTAAGTAAACAGAGGTACAAAAGTTAAGCAACTTTCCCGAAGTCACACGTCAGCAGCAGCCAACATTCCTGACTCAGCGCTTGTTAATACTAAGAGAACTGGTCTAAGAGATGCAGTGATAAATTATGTGGCAGAGTGTTATCCTAGGTCGTTCAGGATCTATTGTTTTCAAGTTAATAATGTGTATTTAGTACCTTATCTTTTTGGTCTTTATCTCACCTCACTTTTAGAAACACAGGCCTCTGTTCAATATCCTATTAATAAAAGAGATTAAAAAAATCCTATTAATAAAAGAGATTACATTTATGGAGTGTTATCCTTGACCAAGCAATGTTCAATTCTTAACTTATATGTTATTACTGGCTTTATAGTAAAGAAAGCTGAGTTTCAGAGAACATGCCCAAGATCGCTCAGCAGTTTATATGTTTGAATTCAGGTACATTATATCCTCTTTCCACTATATCCTGCAGTCCCTCCAAGAGAAAATCCTCTGGGAAGTTACAAAGCATATTAACATGAACCTGTTTAATGCCCAAACCTCCTCCCTCCTGCCCTCCTGGCCTTAAAACTCAGAAAACAGAGCAATGAATCATTAATTGAGGAGTTTCAAGTGGCGCACCCAGGTTGGTACCAGCCAGGCTCAGCCTTTTAAACCGATTCCCGAGGAAGGCCTTTAATTTTTTAAAGGGTTTTCCCAGAACTCAATCCGGGTTATCCACATGTTCACTCCCAGCAGACAGACCAAAGAGGAGAACTGGGTGACTTTCCCCTCTGACAAATAAATATCATGTGAATCACTGTGTCCTGTCCTTATTCCTGGGCAGGCCCACGCTGAGGGCTCACCCACCATGTGCCACCTGGGCAAATCAGGTAGTACTAAGTAGGAAGAAAGATGTACGTTAGGTAAGAAAGTGACTCAGTGCTCGCCTACTTTTTACAAAATGGTGACGGGGCATTTGTACACTTGACAGTGATGTGCCCTGGCATTACTCTGATACTGTGAAGTCTGCCTCCTCAGGTGCCTGACAGGGGCAGTTCAGCCTACCCTGATCCGGAAATCTGAGATGATCTGAATCTGAAGATAAGATTTATCCTATGGCACGTTAACGGCAGAAGAATAGAGACAATCACCGTCCCAGCTCATATCAAATCAGCCTCAAAGCAGCTTTAGGACTTTGGGAGGAAGCTTTGGGGCTACATTCACTATCTGTGAAGAGGAGGTGTAGAGGCAGAGTTAAGAGGAAACTCCAATTTGATTGGGATCGCCGATACAATATATTTTAAAATGAGTTTAACATTTTGTTCCTGCAAGCCTAATATAATAGTCAAAGCCTTGATAATACACTGACAATTGAAGCCCCTCCTTTCAGCCGACACTCTCACCTGAGACCACAGACATATAAGGAGGGGGAAACTGGGTTTCAGTTCTTCCTACTCTCCTGCCTGACACCCTAGTGCATCTGAAAAGGACGCAGCGACGAGGAAAAGAGAAGCGAGAGTCTTTTCCCATCCTGGCTAGTCAGGCCCTAAATCATCACCAGTTGATTGCCTTTTCCCCTTCAGCCAGCAGCATTGGAGACTTTTCTCTGGAAGAGTATGTCTTGTACTTAAAAGGAAGAGTGGTGGGAGACAGGAGAGGCGGAGAAGAGGAGCGGGCAGAAGGGCGTGGGGGGCCTTTCGCGCTCCAGAGTCGGAGGCGCCCGGAGGCCGGACGCCGCGCGGCTGCGCGCCCAGGAATGCGCGGTCGCCGCGTCCTCCCCTCCCTCCTTCCCTCCCTCCCAGCCCGGGAGAACCGCGGGCTCCGGACGGCGAGTTGGCCGTGGCTTCTCGCTCGCGGCCGCTTCGGCTCACCTGGGCGCCAGCTCCCAGCCCCGTTCCTCGTCCCCCCCCAGTCCTCTCAGGTAAGGGGCCTCCGGGGCAGTGCGCGCTCTCCACGCCAGTCTGTGCCCCTGGACTCGGCTGGACGGCTGGGTCGGAACCCGTCCCGCCTCCTCCGCGAGTCGGTCAGGGGGCTCGGCGCCTCGCCCCGCGATGATGAGGGTGTCGGCGGTGGGCAGCCCAGAGCGGAGCGAGGGCTGGAGATGCGACGGGCCGACAGGTGGCGGGTCTGGCTCGGGTCCCCCGCGACCGCCGGGGACGGGGACCCTGCCTCTCTCCTCCCCTCCAGGGGCGGCGACCGTGCGGGCCCAGCCGTGTAGGTGCGTCGGAGAAACTCGGCGGGGTGGCGAGGAGGCGAGGAGTTGCCTCCTCGCCACCTCGCCTGCGGGGCTGAGTGGGGGCGCTCTCGGGGAGGAGGGCCCTGAGGGGCGCGGCCCCGGGGCAGACCCTCGAGCCGGGCGAGGACCTCACGCTTCCCTTCCCCGCCCCCTTTTGTGTTTCCCCTGCAGACTAGCCGGTCCCGGCGGGAGGCGCGGCCGCCCCAGCGCCCCGGGGGTCGTCCCCTCGCCTCCTCCGGGCGGCGGGAAGGAAGAGGCGGCGGCGGCCGGAGTCGGGGCGGGCGGCCTGAGGTGAGAGCCTGGCCGGCCCCGCTGGGAATATGGCGACCGGTGGCTACCGGACCGGCGGCGGCGGCGGCAGCACCACAGACTTCCTGGAGGAGTGGAAGGCGAAGCGCGAGAAGATGCGCGCCAAGCAGAATCCCGCGGGCCCGGCCGCCCCCGCCGGGGGCACCGGCGACGCGGCTGGGAAGCTCCCGCCGGGGGCCCTAGGCACCTCGGCCGCCGCCGCGGCAGCCAACGAGCTCATCCCCGCGGCGGCCGGAGGACGAGTCCCCCCCCAGCGCCGCCGCCACTTCGGGGGCAGCGCCCGCCCGGAGCGGCGAGGAGGAGCGGGACTGCGCCCCGGAGAAGGGCAAGAGCTCGGGCCCCAGCGCCAGGAAAGGCAAGGGACAGATCGAGAAGAGGAAGCTGCGGGAGAAGCGGCGATCCACCGGCGTGGTCAACATCCCCGCCGCAGAGGTGAGCCGGGCGGGGCCGCGGCCGGACCCTGGAGGGCAGCCGCCTCCAGGTCTCATCTCTCCGGGACCCAGAGCTTTCCCCCTCGAGCCTGCACTTCTTAGCCTTTCTCAGAGTAGGCAGGCAGGGGGTGATGGAGTTTTACTCTCAACAAACGCTTCCTGGGAAGTTCCCCAACCCAGAGTCGGACACGTGCTTTTCAGGCTTCCTGGCTAAGATCTCAGACACCAGAGCCTTCTTTTCACTGGTGGAAAGATAGCATGGGGCTTCAGAACTTGCCTACCTCGTTTCTGCTTGATCAGTTAGAAAAATTGGTGAATGGTGATGATGACGTACTCTAATTTCCCAGGTGTCGGTCTTAAGTTATCGGATCGTTTATCTCTTCCCTTTTAGCAGTGTTTAATAGCACCCGTAAAGAAAACTTGGCCTTAGCACTACCCAGACAGCTTTATCTTTCAGTGAACCCAAGAAGTATATCCAACCGAGCATATGTACTATTTCATATATACACCAGCTGTTGGAAACCGCGCGCGCGCACGCACACGCGCGCGCACACACACACACACACATATACACAAACACTTTGCACACACACACACACACAAACACTTTTCCTGAGTGGTATTCTGGACAATAGGAACGCTGTAGCAACCCACAGTTCTTTTGCTCTCTCCTTGTGTTGGAGTATTTGACCCTATGTATTCTGGAAAACATTTGTGGTAGGTTTGGGAATTTTTTTCGGAGGGGGAGTGGTGGTTGATTTTTTTCTCTTTTTGGGTATTTTTGAGCAGTCTCAAAAACATTTCTGTGGGCAGCAGCAGCACCTTCCCATTAGATTGCCTGATGAAACTTTTTTACTTATGGTATAACAGCACTTCTCTCTACTCAACGAAACAATCAACAAGTTTTTAGTTGCTTTAATAGTAACTCACTGGCTTGGGGAAGTGATTCGACAATCATGTTTCACCCGAAGTAGTTGCATCTTTTGCTCATTGGCTCTAAGGTTTTAACCTTTTTTTTTTTTTCCCCCTCCTGGCCTGCTAATGTATTCAACTTTGACACACAGTAAGTAAATAGTAAGAATTCACCAACTTTAATTGTGGTTCAGATAAAAACATCTGCAATAAGTTAGGGTGTGTATCAAACATACCAAATTTTTGAGTCTTAATATGATTTCCATACCTAGAAAATCAGTTTGTCTTTGAAGGGTATATTTTTATGCATGTTTCAGGAAGATTTTTATCAGCCAGCAAAACTGTCCTTTGTGGTTTGCTACTTGCACAAAAGATCTGTTATTCATTAAATTGCTTTAAAAGGAATTCATGAGAGTGGTAATCAAATTTCTAGGGTTTTTTTTTAAGTTAAAAATATGAAGATTAAGGGGAAACTGAAGAGAAGGCTTTGGAAAAGTTACATTCCTCAGCGTTATTTTTAAATATAGCTGATGGTCCAAATAAAATAATTTGTCATTTCCAGTCTTTTCCTCATTGTTCATTTGACAGGGGTCTTATTTTGGGAGATCTCTTGGCAGATGTTAAACTTCATTTTTTTGTCTAGCTGCTTATGCTAAAATTGTTCTTTCTCAATACCTTTTTGTGTTTGTGTTTTTAAGAAGGGTAATGTTTACTGGGAGAAATAAGTATGGTGTATCTTGTGAGGTCCTAAGAAACATCCTATGTTAATATTCGTGTTTTGGGTAAGGGAACACAGTGCTGAGAATGTAGATGATTCCCCGTTACAATTGAGTCTGATACTCTGGAATGTTTTTCGTTTGGGTGTTGGCACCTCCTAAATTTAATCTTCCTTAAAAACAAACAACCCAGGGTACCATTTTTTTGTCTGTGGAATTTGAACCTTTTTTATTGAATAGGGAATTGAGTACTGCTTTCTTTTTGTGGTAACTATGGCTTTATCTGTTTCATGCTGTAGGACCCAACAAAACATGGTAATGTTTTACCACAGTATCTAATTAGCAGGCATATTTCTTGAGTTCCTCCTCCCCATATTTTCAGTTTTTAAAAAAATAAAGCTTTTCAGATTATGTTAATCATGTGCCATTCATTTCTGTTAGTAGTTTGTAAATGCCAGTTGCTGTGGAGTTTCTTGTATAATACAGTTTAACACTACTATTTTAAAAAGTCATATAATTTATGAAATTTTCAGGCATAAAATATAAAAGTATTATAAAATATAAAAAGATCATCAGTCAATATTCAAAAGTAGACTTGTATTTTTTTTATATATATATATATATATACACACACACATATATATATGTATATAGTGTTGCATGACTAATCTCTTATTTTCAGGCCTTATTCCCAACCAAGTTTATATTAGTAGTTTAGCATGTAACTTGTATGCAAAGAGTCTGTTTTAGTGTTTGATAAACATTAAATTTCTTCAATATATTTATTAAGCATCTGTGTAAAACATTTGTTGTGACTTTCATTAACTTATTTTACTGATTACAGAGTAACTATAAAATTATTTCAAGAGAACCTGACAGCAGATAAAGATGATACAAGCAACTGGAGGATAGTTTTAGTAAGGAAGCAGTTCAGAATCCTAATGTGTAGGTGGTGGGATACTGCATGTGATGGCTATAATAAATGCAAATATACAGATGCTCATTCGTGAGATAAACTTTAGTTGCTCTTGTTTACTAAGTAAGAGTTTTTTTAAAAAAACTTTTTCCTAAATTTTTACCTTTTCTTTTTTTTTTTTTTTGAGTACTAGCCCGAATTGGATAACTTGAATGTAACATACTTCCTGCTGATACTTTTTATACATTTATTAGATCAGCCACATATTTATTACATGTCTCTGTTCAAGGCACTATCATAAGCACTCTGGAGAAAACAAGAATAAGGCAGTGTATATTTTCAAGTAGCAAAACTGTAATCTAGGAAGAAGGCATAATTACATGAAACTTAAGTATGTACTGAGTTAACAGTTTAGAAGCCATCTTAACACAGCATGTAACTAATTGTTAATTAAAATTGTCCTCTGTTTAAAGGAAAGAGATTATGTTTATACATATATTCACACATAAATGCATATATACCTGTTTATATAGTAGTTTAAATGTCAAAGTGCAGTGGTTCTTAGCTGTGGTGTCATATCAACACTATGTGAGGAAATTAAAAAATGCTTCCCCTTTGCTGATTATTTGACTTCTCTCTCCTTGACCTCTTGCATTTAATGGGTCTGGGATGGATCCCAGGTATTAGTATTTTGATAAGCTCCCCATGTGAGTCGGGATTTAGAATTATTGGGTTGCATTCTAGGGATGCAGAAATGAATAGGACACAGGCCTTGCCCACAGAGGGGTTCTTAAGTAATACAGGGAACTGTATTAGGTAGTACAGTGTTAAGTGCGGACTCTTTCCTGAGAAGGGTACCTACCTCAAGAGGGTTAGTTGGGGAATGCTTCCTCGACATTTATACCCACGTTTTCAGAGTGCTTGTGAGGTTATTGCCATTGGGTAGGTGTGCATGAATGGATTAACAGAGGTGGTTTTCATAGAAAACACAATCTTTCAATAGATAGAGATCTAGTGCTAAGTTGCTTTCAATTGTGAAAACTCTGCGACTCCATGGACTGTAGCTCACCAGGCTCACCTGTCCCTGGGATGCTCCAGGCAAGAGTACTGGAGCGGGTTGCCATGTCCTTCCTTCTCCAGGGGATCTTCCCTCTCTCTCTTGCATTGGCACAGGGTTCTTTACGCTTCCGCCACCCGGGAAGTCTCAGATGGAGGTCAAGTGACACTAAAGTTTGGATTTAAGTATAAAAGTTAAAATTTATTGAAACTTAACTGTTTTCATTGTGGTCAGCTAAAGTGTTTTACATATTGTCTTAATTAATGCTCACAGCAGTCTCCAATGGTAGTTACAGTTACTGTCTTTAATCCCCATTTCCAGAGGAGAAAATGGAGGCTTAGAGAGTTTAAATGACTCAAGATCACATGGGAAGTGAATAAACGGTAGAGTAGTATTTTAAAAGTTTTTGGGTTTTTGTGTATGTGTGTGTGTCTAGGGAAAAAGGAGGTTTTTTTTTTTTTTTTTTTTAAAAAGGAGTTTTTAAGAGTTAAATCAATCTTGCATTATTTAGCTTATTTTTTAGATTTTTTTCAATAAAAAAAATTAGAGGTTGATCTTAAATGATTTAAACATAAATGGGGAAAACAATGAAAGTATGAAATGGAGTAGAAATTAAGGTTAAATTTGTAGGCTCAGAGTTTGTTTCTAACCCTGTAGTCTGTAGTTTGCTTAGCAAAATTTTGAACACTGAATCATCAGCAAAATACAAGTCTGCTTTTGGCTAGCAGTCAGAAAGTGTGGATCTTTGATTTTTCTTAAGTAATGCCTTGTTTTTTCAGTCAAGATGGGATTATAATACCTACTCCATAGTTTGAAGGAACATTTGATATATAGAAACTCTTCTAAGTGAACACAATTTAAGTCGCAATTATTCAGCATATTTATTGACCATTATATAGGACAAGTTCCACTTAGTAAGTCTTATAAATCCAGGTAGCTTAAGAAATGCCTTTTGGTATGCCCATTATATTCTAGACTGTCTACCTTTCAATGTGATGAGTCAGGGAAAGGACTAACAGTGATTCAGAGTTGGAGAAAATTGGACTAGTGAATAGAGTAGATACAGCGTAAATACTGAGATTTCTTAATAAGATTTTAGTCCAAGCCTTTCTAAATGTTTGAACTCATTGATAAATTGAAATTTTAATATTATCAGAATTTTTAGTGAGTTTTCTAAGCTGAGAGACCTTTTTCCATAAAAATAATAATTATGTAATTAAAGCAGATGATATATATGGTATGTTTATTAAGCACCCAGTCACTGATTTAAGTGCCTTATATATACTGGTGCATTTAATTCTTACTACATCCTATGGGAAAATGGGACAGAAAGGGCCGGTTACTTGCCTGAGGGAAAAAGCACAGATAATCTGTCTTCAAAGCCTGGTTCTTAAGAACCA